GGTCATGTGACCGGCATGACTAAACACCAAGGCGCACGGAACGCTGTTACCTTCCCACCGAAGTGGTACCTATTTATCTACTTGCAATTTCTTGCTTTTGAACTGGTTGGCAGGAGCTGGAACTAGAGACGGGAGCTCACTCCATCATGTGGCACACTCGGGTTTCGAACTGCTGAACTACCGACCTTCCACAGCCTGCAGTTCAGCGTCTTAACCACTTGAGCCACCGCAGCTCCAAAATGCGTTTGGTCCTAAGTTTAAAAGTGTTTACCCGTCAAGTGTATTTGTATTAGAAAAGCTTTTAAAGTCTGAATTTTACCCACAGTATGTTAAAGGCTGAAAGAGTTGGGTCTGTTTAGCCTGGGAAAGAGAAGGCTTAGAGGGGACAGGATTGCAGTCTTCAAGTATCTGAAGGGCTGTCATGTAGAAGATGGAGCAGATCTATTCTCTCTTGCTCTGGATTATTACAAGACTAGATCTAATGGGTGGGAACTACAAGGGAGTCGATACCGGCTAAATATCAGCAGGAGAAACTTCCTAACTGTAAGAGTGGTCGAGCAGTGGAACAGTCTGCCTCGGGAGGTAGTGGAGGCTCCTTCGCTGGACGTTTTCAAGCGGAGGCTGGACGACCATCTTTCGGGTATGTTGTGGGGCTCTCTTTTGGCTCTGCTCCTGCAGAGGGCAGGGAGTTGGACTAGATGACCTGCAAGGTCCCTTCCAACTCTGACATTCTATGATTCTATGTTTTAACATGTGTACACCTTAATAAACATTTGTATTTTTATATAATATAGTGTTAGCTTGACCCTCTTAGTTCACTGACTTCTGGTGACTCCTAGTGCGGCTAGCATGTTTCAGAGAGGTGGCTTGGAATCACTTTACTCTGTGCCCTGGCCCTGGTATTCCTTAGGGGTCTCCCATCCAAGTACTCACCAGGGTTGACCCTGCTTAGCTTCCGAGATCTGAGGAGACCAGGCTCGCCTGGCCTCTCCAGGTCAGGGCTAGTTCTCTGTGTTTTGACTGCACGATCGACCTCAATCCGCATGCAGTTGGCAACTTTTGAAGTGGCCTGTGGCCTGCGCCGTTCGGCATCTGCCACAAATCCAGAGGTGATTTGGTTTAGCACCACCCTACCAAAAGCTTCAAGCCGCTAAGGCCTGCATTTAGCACATCCCTGTTCAGGGCAAAGGAGCCGTCCAAGTTGGCCCTCGCCGCGAAAGCAAAGAAATCACACGGGATTAGGATTGTCTTTGTTTTTATTTATTTATTAAGGTTCAGAGAGAATTCAGTGGGGGGAAAATGTACATGTCACAGCGAGGGAGGAAAGGAGACATCAGGTTCCAAACAAGGGTTCGAAAAATGGTGTTCCGCTGGGGTCATTTATACTGCATTCCTGTACTCCCTACGCTATTGAGAAGTCCCACTATGTTCAGTAGGGCTTTCTCCCAGGTAAGTATGCATTCATTGGGGTGGATTTCTATACTTGTTTGGGGGGGGGGGGGGAACCAGACTTGCAGGTCCTGGAATTGTGCAAATGAGAGATTAGGAGTACTTTTGATTAGCAAAATAAGGACAATTTCCCCGTTCTGTTATTGTTTTAATCAAGGGTTGCATACATGAACACAGCCTCAAGACGGCAGCATTGCACTACAGAAGGTGGGGAAACACTCCTAGAGCTTCTAGAGCATTTCCGCGGGGTTTTCTGTTGCTCTTTGTACCGTATCTCAGGTGCTGGCCCCGATCCCAGCACCCACCTTCAGTTGTTGTTGCAGGGTAGCCCAGTACCTCCTTAGATTAACGTTTACTTCCTTACAACGTTCTGCCCAGTGAGACCAGCGTGACGTAGAAGAAGAAGAGATTGGATTTATATCCCGCCCACTACCCGAAGGAGTCTCAGAGCGGCTTACAATCTCCTTTCCCTTCCCCTCCCCACAACAGACACCCTGTGATGAGGTAGGTGGGGCTGAGAGAGCTCTCTGGAGAGCTGCTCTGAGAGAACTTGTGACTGACCCAAGGCCACACCAGCAGCTGCATGTGGAGGAGTGGGGGATCAAACCCGGTTCTCCCAGATTAGAGTCCGCGCTCTTAACCACTGCACCAAACTGGCTCTCACCACTGGGCAAAACACTGTTGGTTTCCAATGGGAAACACAGGAGGAGCGAGGGTACAGACCAATGCTCCCTCTAAGCTGTGGAGTCTTGTGAGCAAAAAGGCTACTTTGCGAGCTCCTGGCATTAAAGTTGTGAGCGAGCCATTTGGCTGCTGGATAAATCAGTTTGCTCTGGGGCCCTCCTTCCTGAGCGAAGACAGAAATCTGTGAGCTGGAGGCTAAACAACTGGGAGCTGGCTCACACTAACTCAGCTCGGAGGGAACACTGGTGCAGACGCATCTTCAGCGCCCCGAGAGGTACAAAGGCTCAGAGGTGTGGTCGGGAGTATGTCCTGAACGTCCAGTTTTGCACGGGGAAGGGATCGGGGCTCCTCGCTGCAGGAGAAGCCTCGTCGGCCCCTCGCGTCCCTCCTCACAGCTTGGCACCAAAGATGTACAAGAGGCTGGCCAGGGTGCCGACGGCCAGTGCCGTGAAGCTGCTCTTCACGCCGACGGCCCCGCTGGTGTTGCAGAAGGAGTGCTCGCAGCACTTGATGGAGAAGGCCATCACGCCCAGGTCCAGGCCTGCCTCGGGGCAGGTCGCAGAGCAACCCTTGCTGATGGACTGCTTGCGGTTCTCGCCTGCGTGGGAAAGCAGAAGGGAGTGAAAAGGAGGGCGTGGATTTCGCCCAGCTGCTCGAGAACAGAAGAACGCAAGAGAAGCCAGTGTTGGATCAGGCCAGTGTCCCATCCCGTCCAACACTCTGTGTCACACAGTTGGCAAAACTCAGGGGCCATCAGGAGGTCCACCAGCAGGGCCAGGACTCCAGAAGCCCCTCCCACTGTGGCCCCCCAGGCACCAAGAAGACACAGCATCACTTCCCCAGACATAAGAACATAAGAGAAGCCATGTTGGATCAGGCCAATGGCCCATCCAGTCCTACACTCTATGTCACACAGTGGCCAAAACCCAGGGGCCATCAGGAGGTCCACCAGTGGGCCCAGAGCTCCAGAAGCCCTTCCACTGTGGCCCCCCCTAGAAATAAGACCACAGAGCATCACTACCCCAGACATAAGAACATAAATAAGCCATGTTGGATCAGGCCAGCGGCCCCTTTGGGGTAGTGGTTTGTAGTGGTTAAGTGTGCAGACTCTAATCTGGGAGAACCGGGTTTCATTCCCCGCTCCGCCACTCGCAGCTGCTGGATGACCTCGGGCAAGCCGTAGTTCTGATAAGAGCTGTTCTTGAAAAAGGGTAGTTTCTGTCAGAGCTCTCTCAGCCCCACCTACCTCACAGGGTGTCTGTTGTGGGGAGGGGAAGGGACAGCTCTGAGAGAACTGTGACTGACCCAAGGTCACCCAGCTGGCTGCATGTGGAGGAGTGGGGAAATCAAACCAGGTTCTCCAGACTAGAGTTCGCTGCTCTTAATCACCACACTAAACTGGTTCATCGCTGACTGCTTTTCGTGGCATGAATAACATAACCTGATTTGCTGCCGATCAAACGGATATTAAGGGAAGAACTAGATGTACCAGTCTACAATCAGCCTAGTATTGCAGTGTTCCTGATAGCTGGGATAGTCGCAGGTACAGCGTGATCCCTGGCAAAGCAATCTCTTTTAGCAAGAGAAACCTCACTGCACGCTCATGGAGCGACAAACTAACCACGATCAGCTGTTGTGCCCACAGGCCAGGTGCCAAACGCATCTTATTGTTCCAAGAACAAAGTTGAGTCCAGTGGCACCTTTAAAACCAACAGAGTTTTATTCTGGGCATGAGCTTTCTGAAGAAGTGTGGGTGCACAGGACAGCCAGTTTGGTGTAGTGGTTAGGAGCACGGACTCTAATCTGGGACCTGTTGAGGTCAGTCTTGCCTACTCGGACTGGCAGCCGCTCTCCGAGGTCTTCAGTGGTCTTTTACATCACCTATTTCCCGAATCTCCTAGTTATTGAAGCTACGGATTGAACCTGGGACCCTTTGGCATGCCAAGCAGATGCTCTAGCACTTGGGAAAATGGAAAAGGACTATCGAGTGCAGGGCTGGATCAGGCCCCCAGAGGGCGTCTATCAAGCCTGCAGTGGAACTGGCTGTCTTCTTCTTCTTCCAGTTCTGCTGCAGCTGCGTCATCGTAGGTTTGCAGCTTACAGATACACACCTGAACAGCATACTCAAGATTGCAACAGCACAGACATTTTGATGCAGTAATTCAGAGCAAGAGGTGTCAATTATCAGACACTGTTAGATAAACAAAATATTGCAAGAGTGCTAATGTTTTAAGCATATTTTTATTTTAAGTAAAAAAAACCCTTTGTGTTTGTGTCCTTTATAAAGTTTATATCTCCGCTACCTGGCATTACATTTTATGACACACGTGGCCTGGTCTCATTTAGGTCAGATCCGGCCCTCATAACAAATGAGTTCGACCCCCCCTGATCGGTGTGCTCCCTTAATAGCTGTTTGAGCTGCAGCAAATCCGGTGATGTCACTTACCTCCACACTACAAAAAACATTTGCTGATGAAATCGTCATATCTGATGAAGGAACCTTGATGCTCTCAAAAGCCTGGCACCCATATATCTTAAGAACATAAGAACATAAGAGACGCCAATGTTGGATCAGGCCAAAGGCCCATCCAGTCCAACGCTCTGTGTCACACAGTGGCCAGAAATACCAGGTGCCATCAGGAGGTCCACCAGTGGGGCCAGGACACTAGAAGCCCTCCCACTGTTGCCCCCCCCCCCAAGCACCAAGAAGACAGAGCATCCCTTGCCCCAGAGCCCCTATATATACCTTGTGGCTAATAGCCACCGATGGACCTCTGCTCCATATGCTTATCTAATTCCCTCTTGAAGCCGTCCATGCTTGTAGCTGCCACCACTTCCTGTGGCAGTGAATTCCAAGTGTTAATCACTCTTTGGGTGAAGAAGGACTTCCTTTTATCCATTCTAACCCGACCGCTCAGCAATTTCATGGAGTGCCCACGAGTTCTTGTCTTGTGAGAATGGGAGAAAAGTACCTCTTTCTCTACCTGTTCCTTCCCATGCATAATCTTGTAAACCTCGATCATGTCACCCCTCAGTCGTCGTTTCTCCAAGCTAAAGATCTTGCTGGTCTCTAAGGTCCTACTGTTCTTGAATCTAGGCCAGGTGTCCCCAACCTTTTTCACCCTTTAGCAGGCCTGTAGCCAGGATTTTGTGGCTAGTGGGGCAAAAACTGTTCTGGAGAGGCTGCCATTATCCACCCCCTGACACTGGGGAACAGGGCTAACATGCTCACTTTTGTTCTTCTGCCCTTGAGTGCTGATCCTGTACTTACATGTATCATTTGAACAGAGCTGTGATGTATTGAGATTTGGCTGGGCGGTGGCATTCCCTGTTTCGCTTGTGAATGGCAACACCTTGCATATCCCAGGATTCATAAGAACATAAGAACATAAGAGATGCCAATGTTGGATCAGGCCAAAGGCCCATCCAGTCCAACACTCTGTATCCCACAGTGGCCAGAAATACCAGTGCCATCAGGAGGTCCACCAGTGGGGCCAGGACATTAGAAGCCCTCCCACTGTTGACCCCCCCCCCAAGCACCAAGAAGACAGAGCATCACTTGCCCCAGAGCCCCTATCTATACCTTGTGGCTAATAGCCACTGATGGACCTCTGCTCCATATGCTTATCTAATTCCCTTTTGAAGCCGTCCATGCCTGTAGCCGCCACCACTTCCTGTGGCAGTGAATTCCATGTGTTAATCACTCTTTGGGTGAAGAAGTACTTCCTTTTATCCGTTCTAACCCGACCGCTCAGCAATTTCATGGAGTGCCCACGGGTTCTTGTATTGTGAGAAAGGGAGAAAAGTACCTCTTTCTCTACCTGCTCTTTCCCATGCATAATCTTATAAACCTCAATCATGTCACCCCCTCAGTCGTCGTTTCTCCAAGCTAAAGAGCCCTAAGGGCCTTAACCTTTCCTCATAGGGAAAGGGTTCCAACCCTTTTATTTGGAATCCTGACACTGCTTGGTGGGCACAGCCGCAAAACGGCTGCCACAATAGGGCTGCCGCGGAAGGCGGAGCCAGTCATAAAACCATTTCCACCACACAGTGCCGATCTTTGTGCTGTGGTGGCAGCGGCCGCCAAGGGAACATTTAAAAAAAAAAATCCCCAGTAGCCAATCAGAAGACTTGCTGGACAAAAGCTCCACCTGGCCCAGCACACTTCCTAAAAAAACCACTTGGCGGGCACCAGAAAAGGTGCCAGGGTGCCCACGGGCATCACACTGGGGGGGCCTGATCCGGACACCAGATTTCCCCTCTGCCCTTCTCTATGCCAGTTGGATGCTCCGGCACTTGGAAAGGTGTAAAAGGATTCTCGGTCCATCTGAGATCCTTTTAGCGAGAGATACGGAGACCTGCTGTGAGCCAAGCAGGAGCTCTGGGCAGTGGCCTGTGGGGCAAAAAAAATGGCTGCCGGGGCTGCCGTTCAGCCCCCAAGCCTGACCGCTGCCGGCCACCCTTCTCCCTCTCCTCCCGCAAGATTTAAAGGGCCCTTTGGCCAGTCGGCGGGGAGCACGTGGCCCGCTGATCGGCTGGAGGGCCCTTTAAATCTCGCAGGAGTGGGAGAGAGAGGAGCGCTCACCACGTCCTCGCTTCTTCTCAGAAGCATTTAAAGGATTCCCTTTAAACACGCGTGAGAAGAAGTGGAGGGGCGTGCGTGCCCCCCCCCCAATTCTTCTCACAAAACCTTCTCAAAAAATCTTCTCAAAAAACCCTGTGTGCCCTTTAAGGAAGGGGTGGAGCCCCCAACAGCCCCACTGTTGCTGTGGGCCAGCTGATTCCCCCCCCCCCGGTAACCTAGAAGAGTCCTGCCCAACCAAGCCACCCAGTAGGGTTGCCAATCCCCAGTTGGGGGCAGGGGATCCCCTGGTTAGGAGGCCCTCCCCCCTGCTTCAGGGTTATTGGAAAGCGGGGTGGGGTGTCCGCTGGGTGCTCCGTTATAACTTATGGAGACCGGTCCCCATAGGGTATAATGGAGACTTGATCTGTGGGTATTTGGTTTTTGAGGTAGAGGCAGCAAATTTTCAGCATAGCTGCTGGTACCTCTCCTCCAAAAAACAAGCCCCAAGTTCCAAAAAGATTGGAGCAGGGTTTCCAATTCTATGAGCCCCGCAAATGGTGCCCCATCCTCTATTATTTCTAATGGAGGGAAGGCATGTAAAAGGAATGTGGTCCCTTTAAAGGTGAGGGCCAGAACCCCCTCTGGAGTTCAATCGTGATGTCACATCCTTGCTGCTGGCTCCACCCCCAAAGTCTCCTGGCTCCACCCCCAAAGTCCCCAGATATTTCATGAATCGGACCTGGCAACCCTACCGCTAGGCTTGCCAAGCCCCCGCTGGGGGCGGGTAAATTCCCGCCCGGGAGGCCCGTTACCCGCTGCTGGCGGATTGGGCTTCGAGGGGAACGCCCCCGCTGGGGGCGGGTAAATTCCCGTGTGATGATGTCACCCAGAGGTGACATCATCACACTGGCCACGTTGTGGGGGGACACCCTGTGAATCGAGGGAAAACTCTATGGTTTTCCCTCGAGTCACGGTGCCCCGCTCCCAACATGGGCGATGTGATGACGTAACTTCCGGTGATATCATCGTGGCGCACGCGCGGGGGGAACTCCCAGCGGAGCCAGGAATCCCTCCGCTTTGCAGGTAAGTCGGCTTGGCAACCCTACCTGCCACCCAGAGAACTGGGGTGTACCGACGCTGTTCAGCTGCCTTGTTGAGTGCCAAATTCAGGCCGCAGAAGCCAGAGAGTTTCCCAGTCCCTGACAGGCTGCCATAATGGCTGGTCTTAACAGGTCACGCGGTGGGGAGGCCCGATCTAGAATTCCAAGCCAGTCCCAGCCTGATGTGGTTCAAGGACAAATTGTACCTACCGTAGCCTCCCCCTATGTATTTTGTGATGCAGTACTTGTCAGTATCCTTGCATGTCTTCATGCTGAGGCAGTCCCAGTTGGAGTCCATACTGTCACAGTGGAAGCACACGAGCGATGACGCTAAAAGAATGGGACACAAAAACAAAGAGTGTGATTGTCAGACCCCTCCGAGGACAACAGGTGCCTCGATTAGATGCACGGTCCCAGCTTGTGGTCTCATGAAGAAAGCCCATTGTTGGCACCACCGATTCAAGCATTCCTTTCTTTCCGGTGTTGCGAAAGTAAAGGAACGGCATAATCCTGGGTGCACCTTCCTGCGAGTAAGCCCCCTTGAGTAGGATTCTGAGTTGTCGTCTTTAGGATCGCTCTGCCGAGCCTCATTATTGCAGAGAGACGTTTCAACCCAGAGCTCTGGTCTCTCGGCTTGGCAAAAGCACTGTAAACGTGGCAGAAGCAACAAGCAAACATTGCAAAAATGAAACGCTGCAAAAGCAAAAAAGCAAAACCACTCCGGCTGTACACTTGTTGGGTTGCCAATCTCCAGGTGGTGTCTGGAGATCTCCCGCTGTTACAACTGATCTCCAGGTGAAAGAGATCAGCTCCCCTGGAGGAAATGCGCACTGTGGAGGGGGGACTCCATGGCATTAGATCCCCCCCATGTCCCTGTGAGCCTCCAATTTCCTTGTTTGTTTGCTTTTTTAACTTAATTCTTTTTATTTTACATCTATTGCACATTCTATAGATAACCCTATGAATTTACAATTACCAAGAACTGAACAAAGGAAGAGGAGGAGAAGAAGAGAAGAGATTGGATTTATACCCCACCCTTCACTACCCACTTTTTCAAGGACTGCTCTGACAGAACTACGGCTTGCCCAAGGTCATCCAGCAGGTGCAAGTGGAGGAGTGGGGAATCAAACCCGGTTCTCCCAGATTAGAGTCCGCGCACTTCACCAGACACCAAACAACTTTGCAGAAATAATTAATCTGATAATATTGACAGTTCAAAAACATGCTGATCTACTATATCATTCATTTATTTATTTATTTAATCATACTTCTATCCCGCCCTCCCAGCCATAATGTTGCTTCGACTGCACCACTTCTTTTAGTGTGTCATTGCACGTCAAGTATTCTGACGCCGGAAACCACGGTTCCACAAATTTAGAGCTGTAATGAACAGGCTCTGACAATGAAACTTGATCTGCTATCTTCTCCATTATAAAATAACTAGAAATAAGGCCCGTTGTGGAAATAAATACAACGAGAGCTAGAAAGAGGCTCTGGGAGAGTGCTCTGGCTTTGGGCAAACAGTGTCAGTCTGCTTTTAAAACATGAACCTGGGACCTGCACACCACCAGAATACAGCAGATTCCATATGCAACTGACATTCCAACTGCCTTGCGGGGGGGGAGTTTGAGGTGTGGAATGGAGTGAAGTCCAATCAGCTTCCATATGCAAAAGACCAGGTTGTCGCAGCAGTTGTGGTGTGGGCGGGACCCGGGCTTTGCCTTCTGATTGGTGGCGATATATGCTGAGGAGCAGTGCCATCAGCCATACACTAAGGGAGTACATTTTAGAATTAGAACTTTGGCACCCACTATTCAATTATATATAAGGAGAGATGCCACCGTTTACACTGCCACTGTGTGATGGTTGGCAGAAGGGCAGGTTCCCAGTTGGATCCTAGTGCAGGTTTTGCAGCTCTCAATAAAACACCAATTAGATTTCTGTTTGGGGAGCATATATGAGAGTCATTCCAAAGATTCAATAACATGGTCTCTTCTGTGCCCTTACCCTGAGCTTCCAAACATAAGCTAAGAATTCAGCAACAGACAGGATAATTGCCGAGAACTTATCAGACAATAGAATTTTAAGATCATTGTCAGTCGAATTCCTTGCGGAAGGTAAGTGGGGACTGATCAAATAGCTGCGCAAGGTAGAGTATTGGGGACAGCGCAGAAGGATATGAGCAACTGAATCAGGTTCACTATAGAGACAATTGCAGGTTCTACCCCTATATTTTATGGTGATGTCTGAAGGCAGCCATATTATATCACATTATCAGTGTCGGGAGGTTGGATATGATTTTAGGGTGATTTGTTGCAAACCGGTGGGATTAGGGATCTATCTTTGCCCTAAGGGTTTATATTCTCTCTTCTGCACTCCCTCTACAATGACCAGAGCGGATTCGCACTAGGCTGCTCCAGAGATCTAAACGTGAAGAAGAAGAGAAGAGATTGGATTTATACCCCGCCCTTCACTACCCAAAGGTGTCTCAGAGCGGCTTACAAACTCCTTTTCCCTTCCCTTCCCCACAACAGGCACCCTGTGAGGTGGGTGGGGCTGAGAGAACTCTGACACAAACTGCTCTTTTTCAAGGACAGCTGTGCCAGAGCTTGTGACTGACCCAAGGTCACACCAGCAGCTGCATGTGGATGAGTGGGGAATCAAACCCGGTTCTCCCAGATTAGAATCCGCACACTTAACCACGACACCAAACTGACTCCCTCTTGGGAGACAGAAGATCAAGAGGTGTCCTGGGCCTTTTAAATGTAATTCTTCTGTAAAGTGTCCTAAAGTAGTTTTCCGGCAGCATCTCAGGAACATGTGCAGGGTTGCCAGCCTCCAGGTGGGGCCTGGAGTTCTCCTGGAATTCCAAGTGATCTCCATACTACTACATGGGGCTGCCCTTGTCGCGGATTCGGAAGCTGCAGCTGGTGTAGAATGCCGCAGCCTGTGCTGAGGACACTGCACCAGCTGCCAATAGCATACCAAATTCGCTTCAAGGTGCTGGTTCTTACCTTTAAAGCCCTATATGGCCGGGTTCTGACATACTTATGGGACTGCCATTCTCTGTATATACCCCAGAGAACACTATGGTCGGGGGTCTCAAAATCGGTTGACCCTCCCTGGCCTGAGGGAGGCCAGGCTAGCTACTACCAGGGACGGGGCCTTTTCAGTGGCGGCCCCTACCTGGTGGAACGAGCTCCTGGAGGAGATCAGGGCCCTGCGGGATCTCTGACAGTTCCGCAGGGCCTGCAAGACCCTGCAAGACGGCCGCCGCTGCCGTAGAGTCCTGGCTGCGCGGTTTTAACATCGAGCCGACGCCACAAGAAATGATGAGCAGAAGAACATCTGAGAACATCTGGGAAGCGGAAATTCATTTTGGAAACGAGCCATCTAAGTTAATCTTTTAACGGCCGCCAGCACTTTGTGTTTGTGTTTGTTTTATCTGTTGTGTTTTAAATAATTGTATGGTTTTAACTGTATTTATGCTTGCATGGAAGCCGCCCTGAGCCTGCTTTGCGGGGAGGGCGGGGGTATAAGACTGAAAAAATAAATAAGATTAGTTCCCCTGGAGACAGCGGCATCCTAGCTGAGCTCCCTCCACTCCCCAAATGCCACCTTCCCCAACCCCATCCAGGAATTTCCCATTCTGGAGTTGGCGACCCTGGAGTTGGCTCAGCCCTGCTGCAGAGGATCAATATAAGAAGAGATTGGATTCAGACCCCGCCCTTCACTACCCGAAGGAGTCTCAACCCGGCTCACAATCTCCTTTCCCTTCCCCTCCCCACAACAGACACCCAGTGAAGCAGTGTCCCACCTGGAGGCTGGCATCCCTAACGTTCACTGAGAATGCTGAGAGTGAGGACTACGTTTCCCAGCAGCCCCTGCCTCTAGACCTGGTAAAGAAGGAAAGGGCTGGGGAGAGGGAACAGAAGCACTGGGGGAATTGGAGGGAGGACTGCAGACAGCTCTGCTAGTGAGAGATAAGGGATCTGGACAGGAAGAGTTCCCTGTTACCAGTCTGGTAGATCTGGGATTGTTCCAAGGCTGAATGTGCTGGGAGAGCCTTTATCTCCTGCCAAGCCCGGGCAAGTCTGTGAGTCGGGCCAAAGGCATTCATTACTGCCTCGACAACTCATTTATGCTGCACTGCCTCCCTGGCGCCTGCCGGCTCCCCTGCCTTCCCTCCTCTCCAAAGGCCCCTGTCTCCCCCTAGCAGCCCACCCCCCATCGTGTTGAAGTTGCTGCTGCTGGAGAAGAGTCTCCATGCTGATGCTGGAGAAAAGCCTCCATGCTGATGCTGGAGAAGAGTCTCCATGCTGATGCTGGAGAAAAGCCTCCATGCTGATGCTGGAGAAGAGCCTCCATGCTGATGCTGGAGAAGAGCCTCCATGCTGATGCTGGAGAAGAGCCTCCATGCTGATGCTGGAGAAAAGCCTCCATGCTGATGCTGGAGAAGAGCCTCCATGCTGATGCTGGAGAAAAGCCTCCATGCTGATGCTGGAGAAGAGTCTCCATGCTGATGCTGGAGAAGAGCCTCCATGCTGATGCTGGAGAAGAGCCTCCATGCTGATGCTGGAGAAGAGCCTCCATGCTGATGCTGAAGAAGAGCCTCCGGGCCTCCTCACTGAACAAGCACCTGCCTGATTCATGCTCTCTCCATACGGATGTTCCATTCAGAGCATCGCCGTCGCGAGGTTTCTGCTCTCTTGTCTCACTCCTGTTAATTTCCAGGGGGCTGAATTGTACCAGGTGAGAGGAATGTCATGGGGCCTGGGAAACTGATCCGAGCTTTGGTCTCTGCTTCCTCACGATCTCTCCTGGATAGACATGAAGCAGCTTTGTGCTAAGTCAGTGCTCCTTCTGTCCCAGGGTAGAACAAAATTTGAGTCCAGGGGCACCTTTAATACCAACAAAGTTTAATTCTGGTGTGGAGGAACGGGCCTGCTCTGTCCTGCACGCCCTCTTCCACCCTGCCTTCCAAGGTTTTAACCACTTGGTTTTTCTTCCACTCTCAGGGTAGCCCACCACCATCACCTTTGTATGGAATCGCCCGGGGGGGGTGAGGACTCCCAGCTCCCCTTCCCAGATCTGAGGCCTTGCCTCTGTGTCTCCCACTGCCCAGCGTCTGGTCACCACAGGGACAGGTTCCTGGCTTGTGCACCCCTGGAGGAATAGCCACGGCTGCCTTCCCCCTAGCGCTTCTTTTAAAATAGCATGTCTGAGATGGTGGAGGTCTATGTGGTACAGAGAACCACTGCCAGCATCAAAAGTTATGAAGTATTTATTAAGAAGAAAATGATTACAAGGCACTGCCTAGCACAGCACCA